GAGTGCTTCTTAGCTCAAGTAGATACATGAGACTAAATGGGCAGCTCTTGTCCAGAGGCAAGATGAGAAGGCAAAAAGGGAGAGGAGCTGGTTGAATGGACATGGGAAATCGGGGGTGGAAAGGAGGAGTGTGCTGTCACATTATAGGGAGAGCAGGTACGGTCACATAGCAATGTGTATAAATTTTTGTATGAGAAACTGACTTGAACTGTAAACTTTCACTTAAAGCACAATAAAAAAAAATTTGCAGGATGCAGTTTTTCAGCAGATTACAAGCCATGAAGGATAAACCTTAGCTTTAAAGAGAATTATGAGATGTATCAATGAAATACAGTATGTGGACTTTGGTTCCTGGTTCAGTAAATTAACTCTAAGAAAACATGATACAATCATAGAAATTTAAAGACTCGCTGGATTTTTATATTAAGGAATTTATTGTTAATCATTAATCTTTTTAAGGTGCCCTTATCTTATGGAGATACATACAGAAATATTTTGGGATGGGATGAAATAATAAAATGACTGGAACTGGCTTCAGAAGTATCCAGTAGGGAAGGGGGGTGGGGGGAGGAGAGGAGATATGGTATAGATGAAATAGGATTGGCCAAGTGTTGATATTTCTTAAAGCTTGGTGATGGGCACATGGAAGTTCATTACACTATTTTTCTACTTTTGTATATGTTTGAAAGTTTCCATAATGTTAAGCAGTGAATAAAAATGGTTGAATGACAAAAACGCAAATTATCTTATAGCAGAAATGGTATATATGCTATGATTATAACTATGTAAAAAAAAAAAAAAAACCTGTTGTCGTTAAGTCGATTCCGAATCATAGCGACCCGATAGGACAGAGTAGAACTGCCCCATAGGGTTTCCAAGGAGCAGCTGGTGGATTCCAACTGCCAGCCTTTTGGTTAGCAGGCGAGCTCTTAACCACAGTGTAACCAGGGCTCCATGTGAAAATAGGAAGGAATATAGAAGAGATTATTGTAATTATGTTGGGATGGTGGGATGTCATAATTTTCCTGATTTCCTGATTATTTGTAGTATTGTGAATTTTGCTTCTGTAGTTTCACAAGAAGGTTGGGAGTGATTGTGGCCCACTCTACACCCACTCCTTATGTGGGCTCCCCATCCTTACCCTGGCACTACGTGAACATCTGTGTTAGCACTCATCTTGGAATTGTGGGTCTGCAGTAACTCCTTCTTGGCCATGTGCCCATTGAGAACACAGTGGTTAGAGCCTGACATATGGTTAGTGTTCTATAAATGTCTGTGGTTTGAACTGGTGAAGGTCAGTAACAGCAGGTGCTGAAGAGGTTAAGTACAGATTGTGTGACAAGAGCCCTTTGATGGAGAGGCTCTGGATATCAGCCAGAAAGCAGAGTGAAGAAGATAAGAGGAGGTTAGGAAGTGAGGCAGCTGCAGAGTTGAGGGTATTCTTTCCAAAAGGTAGCAGTGCTGGGAATGGGGAACAGAATGATGTTTGTGTGTGTCAGTGTTGTTGGGTGGGTATCTACACAAGGAGGCTTCTGGGAGGAAAGTCAAGGAAGACAGTGGACGGTCAGGGGAGAGAGCAAAGGTCCACGTCAATGTGAGCCCTTAGCCGCAGTCAGAGCTCTGAAGGCTGAACTATTCTTGATTTACTCCCCAGGCTTGGTGAGTAATGTGGTGTTCACCAGTCACACCACGGAGCAGAGGCACCCTCTCCTTGTTCAGCTGCAGAGCCTCATCAGGGCTGCCAATCCTACCGCAGCCTTCATTCTTGCAGAAAATGGGATCATCACCAGGTAAAGTCTTCCAGAGACCACCCTGCAGGACTGGCCACTTTCTCAGATACAGTGCTCTGGCCCACAGGGTCTTTTCATGGTATCTAAGACCTGAGTGCTTACAGAAGTCAGTTTTCTTCAACCAAGTGTTTTTGAAGCTCTGTAAAAATCACCAAGAAGACACCATGTGTCAGTACCCTATACTATTTTTGTTTTCTTTTCTTTTTTGAGGCATTCTTGTTCTTGTCTATTAAAAGGTGGAAGTCAAGAATGTCACAGTGTTCCTTGTATTAAAATATGAGAGAAATTCTCTCACATTTGAAATATGGTTAGCTCTTTTACTTCAGAGACTTGAGTCTATGAACACAACATCACCTGTGTATTAATCTTGCCAAAACAGATGAATTGGTGACTTTGTGAGTGTATTTGTGTGTATGGAGAGAACACACCTGGTCATTTGGTTGATTTTACTTATTCAGTTAGGAAATGTGCAGATTGAGACTTCTCTGTGTCTACCTTTTTACGTAATTTTGGCTTTTGAACCATGCAATTATTTTACATATTCTAAAGTAAATCAACAGGAGGGAAAAAACTAAGTTAAATACAAACAAAAAATAAACTTTTCTATATATCAAAGGTGATCACATAACCACATACACAAAAAGTGACTTTGAACATGATCCTCTGTTGGAACCCTAATTCCAAACAACATCACTGATTGGAGAAGGGAGATTATAAATATGAAATGGGGTATGGTGGGGGAAAAAGCCTACAAATGCTGGGTTTGAATTGGGGGATTCAGTATAAAATCATTATTTTTAAAAAATTATATGTATGTAATATGTACACCTAGCCTTCAGATCTTGGTTTCTAAGTGCCATTCCCTGATAAAAGGAATCAAGACTTCTTGGAGAATTGGCTGATTGCAGATCTAGGGCAAGGAAAGTACAAGGTGAACCTGATACATTTTATGCCAAAAAAAACAGAGTATTCAAAAATTAGTGTGGATATGTCAGAAGGATTCAGGAACTTGCTTAAGAAACTCCCACTAACCAACTTAGGGATAATTTGAGCATGAGAAAAAACAATGATAATAATGGACTATTAGCACCTGGAATAAAATGAATCCATGGTGATATTAAAAAAAAAAAAAAATGAGGGGTAGAACAGTAAAGGCCTTCTTTACAGAAGAATGTCCACTAATAAATAAGGATTGGTAGAATTAGAAAATCACCATTTTCTAATCTTCAGTGTAATACTTGATAGAGGCAAGGATCATCAGTGGATGCTAAAAGCAGTGGGTGGAAGAGCATTGAGAAAAAAGGATATTCACTGATCTCAAACTGTCACTGCAAAGACTACATATTAATTACAAAGGGGGAAAGGACCTTTATGGTGGAGAGGTCTAGTAGACACTACATTGACCAAACGATTAAACTTAGCAGGACCAGCAATGGGACAGATTGACATCACTTGCCTCCTTGATGTGATGCAGTGGGAAGGACCCAACATCACCTGTGTATTAATCTTGCCAAAAATGTTTAACCCGAATCTAATCATGAGGAAACTATCAGACAAATCCAGTTTGTGGGACACAGGACAGCTGGCCATGTACTCTTCACAAATGTCAGTGGTGTGAAAGACCAAAATATATATATAGAGAGGGAGGAACTGTTCCAGAGTAAAGATTGTGAATTCAGTCAGTGAGTGATCCTCATTGAAAATGGGTGTATATTAGATCATTGCTTCTCCAACTGTATTGTGTATATAAATCTCTTGGGCAGATTGTTAAAATGAGGATTCTGATTCAGCAGGCCCAGTTTGGGGCCTGAGAGTCTGCCTTTCTAACAAGCTTTCACGTAACACCGAAGCTGCTTGTCTGTAGTATTAAATTTCTGGAGGGTGATAATAGCATTGTGATTCTGTCAGAGAATGTCCTTGTTCTTAGGAGTTCCATACTGAAATATTTAGGGGTGAAATGTCATGGTGCCTGCAACTAACTTTCAGATTGTGTGGCAGAAAGAATGGATGCATGTGTGCTTGTATGTGTGTCTAGGGGTAGAGATGATGCAAAGATGTACAGGTTAAGATTGCTAGTCCTAATTAACCTGGCTCTTTTTTGTGTTTTCAAAGGAATGAAGACATTGAGCTGATTCTTTCGGAAAACAGTTTTTCAAGTCCTCAGATGCTACGAGCTCGATATTTAAAGTACCCTGGCTGGCAAGTATCATTATTGAAAAGCAGCTAAGATTTCCTTGTAAACCTAATGTTTTATCTATTTGCAGAAGAAAAAAAAAATAGAAAATGAAAATACCAGGTGTTCTCTACACAGGTGACACATGGCAATAGCTGGACTGGCCTGCCATGTCCAAATGGCTGCCAGCCTTGCAGGAGCCCAGTGCTCCACATCTTGGGCCCCAACTTGGGAGCCTTCCTGAATTGTTGCGATTTAGGGAGTCATCCTGTAGGCACCAAGCACAGCAGTAGCCTGTGTTTTCCTCTAGTCCCTAGTGAGGGTGAGGCGGCTGGCATGGAACTAAGGAGTTATAACCTTCCCAGGTGAGAAAGTCACTCCTGAGAATAGTTAGTCCTCTGGGGCTGTCTCTGAGAAGCAGGTTCCCTGCTGGTGTGGCCCAAGGCATGTTCTCTTCTCTGCAGGCTTCTCAGCCTGTGAACCTCCCCTCCAGAGGGAAGAGCAGAGAGGAAATAGCGCCAAGTGCACTGTAGTAGTGCTAATGACCAAGATCACATGAGCACTTAATATGTGCTGGGCATTGTTCTAAGACTGCACTGTCCAGTACAGTAGCTACCAGCCACATGTGCCTATTTAAATTACTAAAAATTAGAAGTTCAGTCGTTCAGTCACATAAGCCACATTTCAAGTCCTCAGTAGCCACATGTGGCTAGCAGCTATCTATCATATTGGACAGTGCAGATCATCCAGAACATTTTTATCATCACAGAAAGTTCTGTTGGACAGTGCTGTTTCAAGAGCTTTGCCTGTATTAATCCTCACACCAAGCCTATGAGGTGGAGTCCATCATTTTCCTCATTTTACAGATAAGGAAAGTGAAGCAGCAAGGAGTTACGTGACTTGTCTAAAGTCGTGCAGCTCATAAATGAAAGAGCTAGATTTCAAACCCACCTGTCTGGCTCCAGCCAGCTGTGCTGCCCTGTCTCTGTATAGAATGGATAACTAATTTCTGCTCTGTTGAAAGTTTAAGAGACAACAATCATTAAAGCTTGGCCAAAATTAATCTCCCATGTTTGTTTGGATTATCTTTGTTAGCCTTACTCGCTTCCCCCAGGCCTCTCTCTACTTCCTCCACACTACCCCTTAACTACCAATTTTTTGGACTTAAAAAACTGCTTGTACTTGGCTGTTATAAAATCCCAGAAGGTTGGTATGTAAAATCAAAAATTTGGGGGCATATTCTTAGGAGGAACCTGTGATTTAGGTCACATCATACTTGCCTAAGCAATGGGTAAGTAAGTCCTTCCTTATATCTGAACAAGAGATTATATCTTTTTTAAAAAAATTTTTTTTTGTTTATTGTTGTAGTTTAAGTGAAAATTTACATTTCAAGTTAGTCTCTCGTATACAAAAATTTATACATAAATTGTTATGTGACCCTAATTTCTCTTGCTGTACTGTGACAGCACACTCTTCCTTTCTACCCCTGATTTCCCATGTCCATTCAACCAGCTCTTGACCCTCTCTGCCTTCTCATCTCACCTCCGGACAGAAGCTGCCCGTTTAGTCTCATGTATCTGCTTGAGCCAAGAACCACACTCTTCATGAGTATCATTTTATGTCCCACAGTCCAGTCCAATCTTTTGAACAAGAGATTATATCTTAGCTAAAAAGAAACAGATGGCACTTCTGGAATAAAGCTCCTCTCAAAGCTCCTCTCTGACACTACAGTTACTGACCTTTTTACGTCCATACCTCCGGCCCTGGGCCTGAGACTCCTCCCATCTCCCACCGGGCGCTAGGAAAGTACCAGCTACTAATCACCATACTGACTCCTTCTGGGTATGGCTGTGTGAGCCTGGCTCAGGGCACAGACTTACCTGGCGACAGACTGATCCAGGAGAGACTGCAACCTAGAACCTGAAATCTTTCCCTAGTCAGGAAGTAGTTCAGTCCTCGTAGAGAATCAGAGATGGAGGGTCCTCGAAATCACCCTTCAATAAGTTAGTCACAAAAGGACAAATATTATATGACCCCACTTATACGGAATATCTAGACTAGGTGAGTATATAGAGATCAAAGTGTATTAGTGGTCACCAGCGGTGGGCAGCAGGAATGGGGGAAAGAAGACCCGACACTTAGGGGACACTGAGCTGCTGGTAAGGGTGATAGAGAAATTCAAGAACAGTTAATGGTGATGATCGAACAACATGCTGAACACAGTTAATGTCACGGAAGAGTACATGAGAAGATTTTTGAAATGGCAGATGTTTTGTTACCTATATATTTTCCATACACACAAAAAAAATCACCCTTCAGATCCTCCCCTCTGGGTCCACTTATGGGATAATTATTAAGTTATCAGATAACTTAATCTTTTAACAAAGTGGCAGTGATCAGTCTCCTCCTCCTCATCCCTGTACATGGCCCCCTCCCCTCCCTTGGGTCAAGGCCACCACCTCAGAATGAACTGGCTTTAGTTCCAGGCTGAACTCAGCTCTGTGTTGTGCACAGATTCTCAGCCCTTCCCCTCCCACAGCCCTCTCTGTTCTCATCGCCCTACCATCACCTTCCCTGGTAGGACAGTTCCTTTCTAGCCTGGGAGGAACCTTGCTCACTTCCCTCAGCCCATCCAAATGCCCCTAAGGGCTCAAGCTCAGAAACCAGAGAAGCCTACCGCCTCCCTGAGACCTTCCCCAAACTGGCTCCAATGGCATGTTTGGATGGGGGGAGGGCTGCGAAAAGAGCATGTCAGTCTTGCAAAAATGTTATGCCACCACCTTAGTTCAACGAGATCACAAAGAGTAAGATACTTTCAACAATATAATATTCAACACCACAGTGCTGAATGGAGAACTGAATTGCTGGTGGAGGAAGAGGACAGGACTGTCACCCACATAGGGGCAGAGGCCAAGTTCAGGGCGGCACAGAAACAAAAACTAATAAGAAAATACAGTAGACTAGAGGAAAATGTTTTCATCAAATGTGCCTATGGGTTAATAGTTATAATATTTGGGAAGCTTGTTTAAATTTTTAAGGAAAGTAACCAAGTGTGTATAGATATGAACAAACAGTTCGCTTAAGAGCAAATATAAATAGCAATCGTGGTAACAGAATTCAATGTCAGTAATACTCAGAAATGTAAAATTGTGCCTCATTGTTTTAACTGACGGCTATTAAATTCATTAAAAATGTCTGTAATACTCATTGCTGGGGAAATTATACAGTCATCTACTGCTGGGGTAGTGCAAATTATTACCCGTGAGATGCTCACACCTCCCCCACCCCAAGCGTTCCCAGTCATGGGGATCATCTCAGGGAAATAATCCATACTATAGATTCTGGGTGATGGGTAGACACCAAAAAACCCATTGCCCTCGAGTCAATTCCAACTCATAGCGACCCTATAGGACGGAGTAGAGCTACCCCATAGGGTTTCCAAGGAGCAACTGGTGAATTCAAACTGCTGACTTTTGGTTAGCAGCCATAACTCTTAACCACCGTGCCACCAGGGTATTCCATAATAAAAAGTTAAGTTTTTCAAATGCTCTGAATATGACCGTGTTCCTAATGAGCCTGTGGCAGGCAGTATGTCTGCTGATCTCAAGACTGAGGAAATCAAGTAGAGATGCCCCTGGCCTTTCAGTTCCTTCTAGAGAGAGTGTACACATCCAAACGTACAGTCTGTTGAGCTGCACACAACAAGATGTAGTTCATTCCATAGTGGTATATAACACTCAAAGCTCCTATTCCTTGTACTTAAAATTTCTTAAACCTTTTAAGGTATGAAGGTAAATTTGATTCTGGATCAGTCTTTCCACTAATGGTTCAGATCTGCGTGTGGTTTGGTCGGCCCTTGGAGAAGACTCGCTTTGTGGCCAAATGTAAAGGTAAGCCTTGGCTGTGATGTATCCCAGTCCCTGGTGAAGGGGTGCCCCAGAGCATCCCTGCATCCAGACACTATTACAGTCTTTCGTTTGCCGTCTCTTTTCCTTACCATTTAGGACCAAAAGCAGGCAGAGGGGTTTGAGGATCCAAGAGTCCCTTACCTTGATCTTGGGGGGCTACTCAATTTGATCTCCACTCCTTTGGAAGAGTTTCCCCACCCCTGGGAAAAGTGGCAGAGTCACTGGGGAGGAGTGGGAGGTAGCAGTAGAGCCTTAACCCTGGACCCTAGAGTAGGGTCTCTTCCCAGTCCCTAACCCTCCCAGCTATGCTGCCCTAAACTTGGCCTCTGCCCCCTGTGGGTGACAGCCCTGTCCTCTTCTTCCACCAGCAATTCAGTCCTCCATCAAGCCAAGTCCCTTCTCTGGAAACATCTACCACATCCTGGGCAAAGTGAAGTTTTCAGGTAACTGGGGCATTGGATTTGGGAGCATCGTACCGTGGAGAGCTCAGCTCTCATGCCCTGCCCCACCCCACCCCCACTGGCCCCACCCCACCTGTACCTTCTGAAGGATTCAGAACCTTCTGGGTTCACAGCCCCCATGGGTGCTCTGCAGACCACCAGTGCCTTTCAGACTGTCTCTCAAAAACCCTCCCCCTATGGGCCTTACTTACACCATTGGGCTCTTCCAGTTTCTCCTCTCAGCCAAGGACTCACCTTTCTCCAGAGTCTTCCGGCCTTACAGTGGAGGATCTGTCCCTCTTCCCCTGGGTGACCTGCCCAGGGCCTCTCCTTGACTTCCTTGTTCCAGAGACTTACACCCTACCCTTCTTGAGCCACCCATGGTGACCTCCTGGACCACTGCTGAGCTCCAGTTCCATTTCAGACCAAGTCTTACAGCTTTCCACTTGCCTCCTCCTCCCTGCTGCCCAGTAGGCCTGCATGAGTCTTAGATATCTGGAGTCCTTGGGACCTAATAGTTTATCCTGGTCTGGGGGTCAGGGAAGGCCTCAAAACAAGTAGGAATTGATCAAGTCAAGGTTGAGGAAGGAGAAAGTATTCCAGGGAAAGAAACAGCATGTGTCATGGTCCTGAGGCAGCAAAAGCACATTTGAGGAACCAGAAAGGGTTTACTGTGGCTTGGGCCTTGTGGTAGGAGGGAATGTGTCTGTTAGGACATCTTCAGCTGTTATGACAGAAAACCCCAGTTCAACTAGCAGGGTGTTAGATGCATAACAAGAAGTCAAGAGGTCAGGCAGCTTAACAGAGCCACTGAAGACCAGGTAATATGTGTTCTTTCTTTCTTAGCGTGTCATTTTGTCCTCAGGTTACCACCCCTCATGATTGCCAAGTTGGTACAGCAGGTCTAGGTGTCGCATCCAGACACAGCCTCTGGATGTTGTGAGAAGAGCCTGGCTCTTCCTGTGGTGTCTTTATCAATGCAGAAGCTGTTCCCTGAAATGTCTCCCTGCAATTCCTCAGCTGACTTCTCCTCTCATTGGTCTGGGTTCAGTTGCCATGCCTTCTTGGACCCATCACCCAAGGGAATTGGTACTGGAGGAAGAGGAGATGCTGGGCAGGCAGCCAGCAGTGTCTGCGGATTTTAAGCATGGGACTATCATGGTTCAGATGGGAGAATCGAATGACATAACCTGTAGAAAAGAGTCTCTCCAGGTTCTAGCCCATGCCTTTTGCTTAATTTATGTTCATTGAATCTGAAACATTGGCCCCTCTCCTCAAGCCCCTTACCTAACCCCACTTTCCTCAGACACCAACAGACAGCCCCGCCTGGTTCAGGGACCTTAATGCCTTCACCTTCCTTTCCTCTAGCATTCTCACCCATCATCACCTCCTTTTCTTCCATATTTACACCCACTGTATATACGTGTCTGTCTATCTGTATTGCACATGCAGACAGGCTGTGCCTCAAACTTCCAGGCAGCCATTAGACTGCTAGGAATGAGACACATAAACACCCACTGCCATCAACCATTCCGCGGGTGTGTGTTCATCTGTGATCAAGCCAGACACATGAGACACTGACACAGTGTTGGCAAAGTAAAAGTCATTATTTATTATTTATAGAAAGCAAACATTAAATAATAGCAACAGATTCCCAAGGGGGAAACACTTACCCTTCCCCAAATTACCCATGTCCATTCTTCTGTCACTGGGCCAGCACACTGTGGTTCGGGTCAGATGCTGTGTTCATGTCACTGCTACCTCCAGCTACCACCAGGCTGCCTGAGGCTTCTGCTCTGCCACTGGGCCTTACCTTGCTGGCAGGAAGACCCCTGCACAGGATCTCCTGAGCCTCTGCCACTGGGCCCTTCTAAGTCTCTGATGCTGGCTCCTGCCATATTACCTGGGCCTGCAGGGCTCTCTTGCAGCCATGCTGCCTGCGCCCGCTGCTGCTCAACGGGGGAGGCATGCAACCCCTGCACAGGACACACTTAGGCCTCTGGCTTGTGCAAGCATTATAGCTCTTTTAGCTCCGTAGGTAACCCTCCTGCCCAAAGGCACTCAGCTCTCACTCTGTGCCAGGCTGGCCCACTGCTGCTGTCTCTTACCGTCTTCAGCGTTTGCTCTTTCTTCTGTATCTGGGAGGTTCTCAGCTCAGAGACCTCAGGTTCCTGGTCCAAAGGACTTGCTCTGCTCCAGACTCTTCTTCTTGATGGTAGTGAGGTCCTCTTCAACCTTTATGAGATTAGCCTTGAGAAGCCTAGCAGACTGGCAAAACTGACCAATTCCCTTGATAGGCCACAGTCACCTTATTTGCATAGTAAACTGTCCAATCCCTGAAAGAGTTTTACGCACCTTATATGCTTAGTTCCAGCCATTCATTTTGTGGGAGTTACAAGACCATGGCCAGAAGGATCATATAAAAGCAGTTCATTGTACCACACCCACTATTGACCTCTTCCTCTTTAAGGTTAACATCTTTCACTCTGGATCCCTTTCTCATCCTGCCCTTTGGAGGGCCATGCCCTTTTCTTGTGTCTCCAGTCACTCCTATCCACCAGCTCCTCGGCCTGTAAATATTGTCACAACCTTCCAGTCCCCATCCATGTGACCTTCCTACAGCACTTGTGCCGTTGACTATATCCTCCTCCCTTGGACCATATCCTTCCTCTCAGGCTTCTGCTGAGACCCTCCTCCACCTGCTACCAAGGGGGCTTTCTTTGCTTCTCCTCAGCTACCTCTTCCACATGGGTACCACCTCCTTCTAAAGACCACATGGATATCCCCATTCAGGATTTACAGTCTTCCAAATTCCACAGGTGCAAAGCCACAGTCCTCTCCTTGCCCCACCCAAGAACCTTTCCTTCCTCTTTTATCCCCCTTTTGTGTTAAGAGCATCCACCTTATCACCCAAATCAGCCAAGCTACAAACTTGTTTTGCTCCTCCTTCTCTTACTCCATCCTTTCTAATTTGCCAGGAATGTGAGTCCTGTCTCCTGCTTCTGTCTCATGAATCTCTCCCCAGTTTAGCAGCTGTATCGTTACAGTCTTAATGTAGCCTTCTCATTTGGGGCCAGGATCTCGGGGACTAACACGTGTTCTCTCTGCAGACTCTGAGAGGACCATGGAGGTCTGCCACAACACTCTAGCCAATTCCTTAAGCATTGTGCCGGTGTTGGAGGGACCCACTCCACCACCTGACTCCAGAAGCACACCTCAAGACAACAGTGGGCAGCAGGAGTGCTACCTTGTGTTCATCGGCTGCTCTCTGAAGGAAGAAAGTGTCAAGGACTGGCTGCGGCAGTCAGCTAAGCAGGTGCTTTCCAAAGGCCAGACAGACCTGGCACAGATGTGACCGGCACACTCTGAGGCAGACTCCCCTCCACTGCCTCCCTGATGCTTCCCCACTGATCCACCAGACAGGCTCAGCCAGCACTTTCAGGGACACTTGGAGCATGGGAGGAAGCCACTGGGGCAAATTCTAGGCAGCTGGGTTTTGCTGCCTACTCTGTGAGCCCAGGTTCTCACAGCCATTTCCAGTTCCACTTTCCAGGGCACGCTGGGGTCATTAGGTGGTTTAACTAAGACCTAGGTTAAACGTATTTGTTCCATGTGGACCTTGGGTCTACCTGGTGTTCCAAACCCAAAATGTCTTTTCTCAGAGGAGTCTAATTTAAAGACTCTCCTGTGTTCTGAGCCCAGACTCTCCTATACTTGGGTTCTGTCTCTAGAAAGAAGTAACAAAGATGTGTTTAGAGCTATTCACAAAGGAGACTCCAGGTGTGGATAGCATTGAGCCCTGTGGCCCTGGAGGCAGTGGAGGGGAGGCTTGCCTGTAGATTCACACCAGCAGTTTTAGCCTAATGCTACAAAGACAAAGGCAGAGTAGAGTTAAAGTCCTTTAGTACACTGCAAGCTTTGTTGCTCTTAGCACAGCCTCAGGGTTTAGCTTATCCTAGAACTCTGGGAATAGAATTGGCAGGCCTTCAGTAGATGGCTCAATTGCCTGCAGGCTGCATCTTCTCAGAGTCTCACCTAGATGAATTCCTGATGGTGCTTGACTACCCTCAGGTTGTCCCTTTGTCAGCATTCCTGTCATTGGTGGGGCTTGGGGATGAGAAGCTGCAAAGAGGCAGGAACCTGGCCATTTGCAAAAAGCACTGGGCTCTCCTCTGCACTTGTTCCCCTGGCACTCGGGGCTTTGTGGTGGGAAAGGGGTCTTCTCAAGGGGCGGGCAGGCAGGATTTTATGTCCAGGCCGTGAGAGTTCTTGTGCTTTCTCCTCTGCTGGGTTCTTAGTGAGGTAGCTGGCCCCAGAGCCCCGAGACCTCACCCACCCATGTACCCCATCTGCTGTGTTGGGCCCTGACCCCTATATTTCTGTACAGAAACCTCAGAGGAAAGCCCTGAAGACCAGGGGGATGCTGACCCAGCAGGAGATCAGGACTATCCACGTGAGTACCCTGTCCTGTGGTTCTGAGCCCCACTCTCCCCTCAGTCCCAGGGCTGCCCTTCTGGGCTTACATAGCTCCACCCTTTAGGATTCCCTAGGTCAGGGGGCTATTTATAGGGCATGCTGGAAGTCTGGCTTCTCTCCAGCCACAGAGGGCAGCTGGGTAAAGAGAAACCTCGCAGCTTCAGTGAGAAGGAGGGTGGGGCAACCTCTGATGTGACCTGTGTGTGAGATCAAGGAGAACCAGTGCCTGTGGGAGAAACCAGTGATGTGATGTGGGGCCTGCTTTGTCACCCTGTCAAACAGCCGCAGAAGAAGGTCTTTGCTCCTCCTATCCCTCTGCCCTGGGGATACAGCAACTAGGGCCCCAGGAAAAAACTAAGTCTAGAAGTTGCCCATGGGAAGCTTGTGGAATCCTGAGGCCAGGAAGATGAGCCCTCTCAACCTCCAGGCTGGCTCCAGCCTCTGCCCCAGGCCCTCTAGCCACACTGCCGCCTTTTCCTGTGGGGCTTAGGGGCAAAGCTAAAAGGGGCACTATCCAGGCCCCAAGCTAGATTGTGTCACCAGTCCCAATAATGAGTGGATGACACAGGAGAGACTACTCTGGCTCTCCTGGAGCCCCTGCTTTGGACCCAAGGAAGTCCCTTCGTATCTAGCTCCTGCAGGGCGTGGGCAACCCTGCCTGCTAGGCCTGGCCTTCTGCAGGCTTCTAGGGAGGAAGATGTGGCATCTCAGGAGATGATCCGCTTGGTGTATGTTCTCCCAGGACCTGACCTTGAGCAAGGATTTGAGCACAGGTAGTTGTTTTGGGAGGTGATTCTAGGAGACACTGGTAGGGAAGTAAGAGAGGAGAGGGAAGGGGAGACAGTGAAGGGTGTGTTATCAAACCAGTCTCTCTGTGGGCAGCTCAGTCCCATTAGAAACTCCCAGGGTCCTCTTCTCAAAGGCAAGAACATCTATTAGTCATTGCTGGAGGGATGCTGGGGGGATGCTAATGCCCTGGCACTTCTACCCTTCAGCAGGGCAGTGTACACTGTCTTGCTGGGGGAATAGGTTGGTTTATTTGTTTTTAATGAGTGAATGAATGATATAAAGTGGTCAGGTAATACTAACAGGGCTGTTTTTTCCTACAGGTGAAACGCCACCTGGACCCCCTACCTGCAGGCTACTTTTATAATGGAACTCAGTTTGTCAACTTCTTTGGTGACAAGACCGATTTTCACCCACGTATCCTTGAAGCATTTGGTCCCTCTGTGGAGGCTGAGGATGTGTGTGAGCCTGTCTGTAAAGTAGGCATCTGCCTGAGCCGCGGAAGTTGGGCCCCTGGAGCAGGCCAGGCTGTGCGTTCCCACGGGATGGGGCTGGGAACATGCAGGAGCAAACTGCAGGGGCCAGCTTTTAAAGTCATTAGAATTAGGTTTCTCCTTCATTCAGTGATTGCTGTAATGTGACTCTACTACATATTGCTGTGTGAGTGGTCGTTTAAATGCAGCCCTGATGTGTGACGCAGCCCATTCGAGAACTCAGATGACATTCTGAGTTCCGTGGTCATCAGGACCATAATTTATAAGTTGGAAGCTGGACCTGATTTCATCAGTCTGTAGAAAGATCTATGGAGTAAAGTGTAAGATGTGGGGTGCTGCTGTGTGCTACTGAAATCTGAAGGGCTTAGTTCTAGGACCTCATCAAGGACCCTGAGCCAACACCTGTCCACATTCTTCACAGCTGTGATGCTGCCACTGTAGAGAGAGCCTTTCAGGCACCTGTGTGCAGGCCAGCCCTCACTGCCTCAGTGTCCCCCACCTCACCGACCCACAACTCCCTCTCAGTCCTGGGCAGGCTCCCTTGGCCTCTGGGCTCAGGGCACTCTTCCTTAATGAGATGCCAGTCATGGACCAGTTCATGAACGACTATGTGGAAGAAGCCAACCGGGAAATTGAGAAGTACAACCGTGAGCTGGAGCAGCAGGAGTATCATGACCTCTTTGAGCAGAAGCCCTAGAGGAAGGCGAGACCCATATATCCTGCAGAACGTCTCTCCTGGAGACTGATGAAACGGGGCATCTTAACCTCAGCTCTCCTGGAGGAGCTGCCTTTGTTCTCGTTGGCCTGTGTGTGCTGGCTTGAGTGCATGTTGTCTTTATTCTCTATACAGCGCTGAAGAGCATCACTTGGACCACTGGAGGGTCGGGGAGGGGTCCTTGTGGAGGGTGAACAGACAGGGACTGCCCTGTGTATGGAGCTGGCAGTCCAGGACCTCTGGGTCTCTGATAATAGTATCTCCTCTGGGCTGTTGAGGCACTGTGTGAGGGTGGGAAGAAGCATTCGGATTCCACAGAGGATCTGCCAGGACTCAGAAGGGACCCTGGCTACCCAAACTATGGCCATGCCTTGGGGGACCAAGCCACCGCAGGCTTCAGGTCTCAGACACTGCCCCATGAGGGCCTTCATCCCCAATGGAGTGCCTGCCTCCTCTGCTTAGGCCCCTTCCACTGAAGGAGCTGGCCCTGGGCCCAGGCCTGGGGTGAGCAGGACAAGCCCTGCCCAGCCCAGCCCACAGAGCCAGCAGCTTGGGTGAAATCAACAGGTTGTTCTAAAATGAGGGGATTTCGCTTATGGACTAAACTGAGGGGAAAGGCACGGAGCTTTCCAGAAGTGTGCTGCAGAGTTGACACACTCAGTCCCCATTGTAATTGGTTCGTGAGCTCCCCTGATGGCACCACTCTGGTTTCCCCAATTCAGAGACAAGAGCTGCCCAGCTGTTGAAGCCTCCCTGATGATGCTTTGCCTCACTGTAGAGGGAGAGCATCCTGGTGAGTTTTAGGCGCAGGAGGGTGTCCTTGAAAGGGGTTCAGTCTTCAGCGTCTAGCTCTTCCATCAGCTTTGCCAGGGGAGGCCTGGCTTCCAGACACAAACTTCAGGAAATTCATGCTCCCAAGTATTGTTGCTGGCCCTGGACTTGTTTGGCTCCTGAGGACCAGGAATTGCAAATTCCCAATGCCCACGTTAGAATTCCTTCCAGTGGCTTAGTTCTCCACTGACCATAAAGCAGAAAGGAATGACGAGGAAGGTCGCAGGCACTGATGTTAGGTGATGTCTTTAGGACTTCAGCGCCTCAGCTGCCTGGATTGTAAATGCTTTCTGAATTTCACATAATTTTTGCATGCCTTAGGAAGAAGCACATAGGTAAAACCAGCAAAGAGTTTCCAGTAATGTAGAGGGGTTTTGAGAAAGACCCCTGGTGCAGAGGAGAGACAGGCAGGAGCACACATGGCAAGCAGCAAAGCCATTGTCAAAGGCTCATCAGTAAAACGTACTTGAAATAGAAAGGAACAATTTGTATATGAAACCAAACGAACGAAACTCCAAATTCCATTGAATAAGAAATCTTGCATTAAAAGGGCTTCTGAAAAGGCCTGTGTGCTTCAGCCTAGCTCCGAAAGCCACTAGCTACAAGGGCCCAGCTGTGGAGCCGAGGTCTGGGAGCCCCTCACTTCTGGCTGGCCGGATGTTGGGGTCCACAGCAGGCCTGCCTCTGCTTGAGAGTCAATAACATATGTAGATTTTAAGTGCAATTGATTAAATAAGCAATGAGTTACTGTAGCTTCCTTTAGCTGTACCGAGCTCTTTTTAAAAACTCAAACTTGAGCAGCCTTAGAAAAGGGGGGGGGGCGGGGGAGGACCATAGGCCATTTCCTCCAGGTGGGTTGCTGTGAAGTTTTAAATGAAAGCTCTGGACCTTGGAGCTCGAGCCATTTCCTGGCTGCCCTGGCCCGGCAGTCTGGCTGCTGCACAGAGGAGTTTTTAAAGAGGGGTCGGCACCTGCCCGTGAGAGTGGGTCCCCCCACCATGTAGGGCTGCACTACATGGTGGTCTTGGTCTCTGACCAGTGCCCATAGAAGTGCCCTCTCACCAGCCTGCCCCACTGTCCCAATTCCTCTCGTCTTAGAGGGAAAACTGTGATTACCTCAACTTGAATACGAAACTGTGATTGAAAAAAGTAGTCAAAACGTGAAGAAGTTTCAAAGCCAAAAAGGCAAAGCTGGCCGAGGCCTCTATAGACACTCCTCAGCCTGCTCAGGAGTGTTTCGGGGCACATTGGTGAAAGGGCATTCCTCTGCACACTTGCCACGTCCCCTGGTAAACAGGCACACCAGTTGCGCACTGTGTGAGCTCTTTGAGGACTGAAGCCGGCGGATACCGCCTCCGGGTGCTGCCCCTTCCGGAGCCTGCAGGGCCTCTTGGTTCTGACTGAGAACGTTTAATATCCACTTGATTTCCCCCAGCTCCAGATCGGGTGGCGGGGTCTTAGGCTGTCTCCAGAGGAAAGGCCACCATACCGTGTTTTAGCCTTTGACCTTAGAAACGCAGTGGATATGGGGACCCAGCAAAGGCATCCGTGTGGTTCCTCGGGGCAAGCAGAGTCCTCCAGGGTCTTCCATGCTTTTTGCCAACTTTCCTCCTAGCAGCTTCAGTTTGGTATCACCCAGAATGAGTGTGATAATGTTGAAGTCGCTGAAGTTATGGATTGTTTTACGTTTTGATGTAGGATTTTTCTTGTTTTGATTGGAGGAAGGAGGTAGAAATTGGAGAAAACGGGATCCTCCTAGGAAGGGGCCTCTGGCAAGGAGTCCGGTTGGCCCCGTCGAGCCCTAGGGGCTCTCTGACCTGAGGCATGGACACTGGGCCTGCGGGTTGCAAGAAAAAGTTAACCTCCCAAATTCGATTAGAATTTTGGAGAATTTTTGCACAGTAATAAGCTCTGGGTTGCTCTTTGGGCTTCTCAAAAGGGAAAAATTCAACTCAAAGGTTGTAAACTTTTAAGTATTTCAGCGTATTGCTGACCTAGTTGGATAGTTGTACCTCAAAAAGTAGGTGAGAAATGGCTTCCTCATTGTCACAGGTCGTCAAATACTAATGACATAAGAGCTCACTTACGTGCCAAAATTCACTTTTATACTAGTTTTTCAGTGCTTTAATATTTGTAACGTAAATTTTAAAACTCGTATTTACAAACTACTGTAACTTCAGTGAAACTGAATTGTGTGATTGAAGCTTTTTGCTTATAGTATTTATTACACTACTTAATTCAGTAAATATATAAAAGTAGCCTTCAATTTATTTTTATATTATTTTACATGTTTTTACCTGCAGTTGTGTATGTGAATTTGCCTTAGTAATTGAGATGTAATGCTAAGGACCAATTAACCAATAAACTGAAAAAGCAAGGACCGTCGGTTATTGGCCGTCGCTATGGAGAAAGCCCGCCCCCTGGGTACGAGTGGAAAGCTTGCCTGCATCCGCCCCCGGGGGCGCTTCTTTGCCTGGACGAGAGGAAGCCTCTCGGGACTCATTCCCCTTTCCGGGCCTTAGAGCGGCCTGCGGAGTGAAATTCTTGTGAAGAAGCTATTCCGACTTGGTTTAAGGGGTAGGCATTTTCGGGGTAGGAAGAAAGGGGGAGGGAGGTGGTCCCAGAACCTGCAGAGAGGCTCGAGGAAGCTGGCTGTGGGCACGGGGGTCTCCCGAGCACCGGAGGAAAGCCTTCCCACCCCCACCTGTCACGGATCCCCGGGAGAAGCCGGAGTCCGCCGTGGTCCCTGGCCCTTGCCTTCGACCGCGGTGGATGAGTGTCCGTTTGCCGCCCGGCATCCCGCCCGGGCCCGGCTGCAGTGGGAGCCAGTGCTTTACGTGTTTATCAGCTCGTTCAGTCCGCGTAAGGGCTCCACGAGGCAGTCACCCAGCCCCACTTTACAGATGGGGGATAACCAAGGCGCAGAAGGGTCAAGTAGCTGGCCCAGGTGGCAGAGCCACTGCCCTCTCCCGCGTTCAATCCCAGAGGCTCCTTCGGCGCTTCTTATGTGGAGCCGGGCCGGAACCGTAGGTTCTAAGGGGGAGGTCGGCCGAAGCCCTCGGAGCGCTAGAGGGACAAGCAGAAATGCACCTCGGTGCCCAGACGGGCTCCGAGTTCACTCGCCCGCAGCCCTGGGCGGGACTGGACCTGGTTTGGACGCGCGTCCCGCTGCAGGCGGCGCGGGCTCGGTGAGGCAGTGTCGCGCGGGACCGCGGATGCGTGGGGCTGCTGCCCGGTGCCAAGGCCTCCCCGCGGGCAGCCGGACTCGCGGGGCGCGGGCGCGGCTCACCCCCACCACACCCGCCCCAGGCTTGAGGAGGACCTGCTGCCGTTTGGAGGAAAGGCCGATTCCGGAGGAGGCACCCGCTGCGAGGCGGCCGATCCACAGAGACCCTGTCCTTGTCACATCCAAGACGCAGGCCCTGAGACAAGGAGAGATTCGGTAGCAAGCCCCAAAGGGAAGGTGCAGCCCTCATAGGGAGCCTCCGTCAGATGGCTGTGATGGTGGTCTTGGGTGTGGGGCGTTCTTTGCGGATCATCAAAACCAAACCAAACACATTGTCGTGGAGTCGGTTCTGACTCCTAGCGACCCTATAGGACAGGGTAGAACTGCCCCATAGGGTTTCCAAGGAGCAGCTGGTGGAGTCAAACTGCTGACCTTTTGGTTAGCAGCCCGTAGCTCTTAACCTCTATGCCACCGGGGCTCCCTACGGATCATTAGTCAAGTGCAGATCAAATGCAAAACGGCATGTGAGGGGCCTGATAGAATTGGGGGTAGGAGGATTGCAGCAGTTATCATCCTCCTCACAGTCCCTTTCCCCAGCCTCCGCCAGCCTCTCCATTTTTCCGGCTGCAGGTTTGAACCTTGGCGGAGCTGGGGTCCCTGCACTTCCCTGAAACCTCCAGGTCTGAGGATGACCCCCTAAGAACTGCCAGAGAGGTGGGGGAGACAGTAAATGGTGAAAGGCCAGAGCTGGCGGAGCTTTGATGAGGAGGACTTAGAGGTCAGGAAGCCCGGGACTGGAAGGGGCCCCATCCCCCACCACCACCACGTGCAGGAGTCCACAGTAGGGGCAGGAACGACTGAAACCCAAGGGCTTCATGACAGCTGCGAGCCAGGGTCGGGAACACTAGTGGAGGACAGGTGTGGAAAGTGATTTAGAGCAGAGGGTCTCACATGGAGCTGCTGAAAATCACAGGGATCTCTGAGGAACTCAGAGAAATAGTGATGTATTAATTTCTCTCAGACAATCGAGGGAAAAGGCATGCCCCAAGAAAACAGCACCAACACCACACTTGCAGCCCATGACCAAAAGAGAACGACTTGGCTCCTGTGAAGGAGAAGCCCAGGATGGTACCAGCTTCAAGTTTGTCTGGGCCCAGGAGCTCAGATGTCATCAGGTCTCTCTCCACCCTTGGTGGCCTCACTCTTCCCTGGTGTTGTAGGGGAAGAACATCACAAAGTTTAGTAAAGCAAAAAGAAAGTTTTATTCGGCATATATTCAAAAGGGCAAAAGTGGGAAAACGGACAACCATGCTGCCAGAGCCATGTCTGCTGGAGTCCAAGGATATATCACAGAACAGACAAAAGTGGGAAAACGGACAAGCATGCTGCCACAGCCATGTCTGCCCGAGTCCAAAGACCATTACAGAGTCATCACTATATATTAACATTACAAATGGGCAAAACCATTGAAAGTTTAGCCTTTTCAGATTGGCTAGAAACTGATCCTTCATTTTGAATTGTCTTTCTTAACAATCACTGGTACAGGTTTCAGTAAGGAGGGTCTTCGTAGACCCAACAAATTTCTATTCACTAAATGCTAATAGAAAAAGAGTGGAAAGTCTTTTGTGTTCTGTTTGACTGGCTTTATGAGAAAGTTTCCCTAAAAGATATTTTCCAAGAACATCTTAGCTATTGTCTTTATACCTCAGGGCCCAGTCGATGTGTCCTTGTGAGTCCTTTGAGCCCAGTTCCAGCTGGGTCACATCCTCTATGCTCAAGGAGAGGGAATAAATGATTCTAATATTATTTCCTAAATCATTGGCAGTGATCTTCCCCTACACCACCAGCAGCCCCAACATCCCAAAGGGAAGACCCAGCCTGCCCCATGCCTAAACAAGTCACAATGGTCAGGAAGAATGGAGAGTAGTCCGATTATTGGCCTGGCCAAGGGCCCCTGAGCAGCAATATGTGCCCCCCCACCCCCTGCCTCCCCAGGCCCATTTGAGAGCTGGGTCCCCTAGACCAGAATTGCACACCCCCTGCAGGCTGTTTCTGAGCCTTCCTGTTAAAATCAGATACTAATTTGATTTTTTAATTTGGCTTTCTGCTAGTCGTCTTTTTTTAATTATGGTAAATACATAGGTAATGCAACATGTGCCATTTTAACAGTCGTCACATGTTCAGTGACATTAAATGTATTCATCACATTGTTCAGCCATCACCATTCCTGAATTTTTCCATCACCCACAACAGAAGCTCAGTGTTCCGTAACCATTGTATCGTCCTTTCCCCCTCCCTCCTCCCCACCAGCCCCTGTCTGCTAGTCTTTTTACATACAGGTGATAGCAGGCACTAAGGTTTCCTGTTGGGGTCACAGTGGTTGTTTTTAACTAAGGGAAGAGAAATGTTAAATTGAAAATATTGTATCCACTAAGATAATTTGTTCCCCTACAGATAGAGAAAAAGCCACCAGTATTTTGTTTTATAGTGCCTCAGCCCGGCCTAGGAACACCAATCTTCATGGGAGCCTGTTGGAGAGCCCTTATTATTGTTATTAAAGAAAGATCACTATAGACTGGAACCTGGG